AACAAAACGAGAAGAAGACGATTTGATTGGTCTCATAAAAATATTGGCTGGTCCAGAATTCTCATCATGGAACCCTTCACATCATGCACGAGCAAAAGCATACAACCCCCCGAAATCAAAAATTAATACACATTTTTTTTTGTACAAATTGCAATATTATATTAACTTCCCACAATAATAGTCAAAAAATGAAAAAAAAATCGATAAAATGCACAACTTGTGAAGCAAAATATAAGTTAACATTAGAAAGTATCAATCAATTTGTTACAGTTGATTTTCAGTATCAATTAGAATCTCTTTTACATGAAAAAGAAATTCAAGAAGATTTATTGAAAACCTTCACTAAGCTCGATGAACGTGAAAATGATGGTATTATCAATGATATTTACGATTCCAAGTTATATAAAGACATTCAACAATTGTCACCCCAAACATTAACATTTAATCTCAATACTGATGGCGCACCGGCATTTAACAGCTCTAATCGAAGCTTCTGGCCGATACAATTAATTTTGAACGAACTTTCACCGCAAATTCGTAAGCAAAATGTAATTCTTGCTGGTATGATGTTAACTTCAACAGAGCCAAGTCCGCAATTGATGAACAGTTATTTATCTAAGTTCCTCGATGACGCTGAAAAATTAATGACGAATGGATTAAATATCACTATGCATGATTCAAATTTACAGAGGAATTTTAAAGTTCATTGTCATCTCGTATGCGTAGATTCAGTGGCTAGACCGGTTCTACAGTATCGGTATCAGTTTAATGGGTATTATGGTTGTAGTTGGTGTTATGCACATGGAGAATACTTCAACTCAGCTATGCGTTACCCCATCACTGTAAATGATCCGGCTTTACGGACGCACAATGATTTCATTCGTGATGTAGAAAATGTTGAAGAACTGGGTCGTCCTGTTAATGGCGTAAAAGGACGTCCTGAGCTACTACGATTAAAACATATAGACTGTATATGGAGTTTCCCAGTAGATTACATGCATGGCGTTTTGTTAGGAGTTACTCGTCAGTTATGGTCCATTTGGACTACACCTAAAACTCCCTATTATTTGAAACGTAAAAATCGTAAGGAAATTGAAAAACGGTATCTTTGCATAAAACGGCCTCATGAAATTCACAGATTAGTGAGATC